TTGACTTAATGAAGTTAACTTTAGGTTTTTGGCATCGCCATATAGTTACATAAATTCTTAGGCAGAGTTATTTCAAGATATAGATTGGGAACGATTGAGATTTTGGGTTTAAACAAAATTGTTGACGGATTCAATATATATAAGAAGCCAATTACATGATAGACAGATATTAGGGTTTAGCGGATTACAATAAGTAAAACCGAATTAGCCGTACATCTTTTATCATAATGATAAATGAAAGACATTTTTATGAAAGACATAATGATACGAAGAATTTCTTGGGAACACATTGTACCCACAAAATTTACATTTTAACCACAAGATTTATAAGCAACGACTAATGTTTTAAAAGAAACACAGATATATAAAGTTGACGTAGCTTCACATGGTTCCGCTTTGGTCAATAACACATCGGAACACTCCCTCGATCCCATTCATAATAAAGAACCCATTTAAAAGAAGCTAAAATTATTAAATCCAAACCCAATTTCCATTGCTATGAACAAAGTGGTGATACACTTAAAAAAAAATCCCACAAACACATATTAACCACATTGCTTGCAGTGGCTATAAATAAGATAAGAGGTGGAATATAACGATTTTTTTTAAAGCGTGAAGTATAAAATGATTGGTGAAAACAAAAATCATAAATTATGGCATACCATGCATGGGATGAACATGAAGGAGAGAGCCCAAAAAACAGAGATATCACATGAGTAGTTCAAACGAACGACAACATTAAGAAGAAGAAAAAAACAGAGTACGTAAATTTTAATTTACCCATTCAGTATCAATGGCTATCCGATCGAATCGATCCATCATAGATCTCATCAATGTAAACATCAGCTCAACGTGGAAACATCGTACCGCCACAAAGAACCAAAAACACATCATTCCAGTATCATACCCAATTCTGATTCTCTCCCTCAACCMTCGTCCCTTTCCGCACAAGCTATTCACCCCACACCACGACTTTCCAGCTACCGAAAAGGAATCATGCAACATTAAGTAGAAGGAATCTGGCACCAGAGTATCTCGTAGTTTAAAGACATGTCTCTCTTAGAAAAAAAGATTAACTCACACGTAGCTAACCAAAGTATCATATTTGTCACGTAATCAGACAGAACACAAAACTCAATATAGTAAGCTTATGTTCGCTATAGAATTTTAACCAAGATACTAACACCAAAGTGCAAACGATCTGCAGTAGGAAACATAATAAAGAGGGTTGAATTAGAGCAAGGAACATGCTATCAGTTAACAGCAACCAAATCAAAGAGTACCTCATGTAAGAAAATCTTATGCAACAAAAGTACTATAAACGGTATACAAAAAGGGATATTGTTGTTATTGTTTGGTATGTGTGGTAACATATCAAAAATGTTCCTAATATTATATTGACAATTTGGTGCTTTAAGGTGGATCAACCCGTGTCTTAAAGTTGAAGCTTATGAAAAAAAACGCATACTCAATCCTAACAAAGAGTGAATAAAGCACCTTAAATAGCTTTGATCTACCATAGAACACCCTAAGACAGTTTCTCACATCAGACCAAAGCTGCAAAGTGGTTATCTCAAACCACAACTTTTTTTAGCAAATTGGATGCGTTTTTTTGTTCCAGGAGATGAAGATTAGATAGGGTTCTCGAATTTACATGTGGATGAAGTCAACAATAGAGATATACAAATGTTTATCTGAGATGCAGCTTTTGAGATCTCTGTGCAAGCGAGTTTCTCCTCCATTGCCCCAACTTACTCCAACCCAGCTTTTGGTTCTTCTGGTTCGATGTCTACTCTTAGAGTCCTTAAAAACACATAACCATTGTATTAGTTCTTAAACTGTAGCCATGTTCAAACTATAATAAGCAAGAGAAAGTGTGAAATATATATACATAACAACAAAGAAACGAAGAGTCGAAGACTATCAACAAAGAGGCCTATTTTAAAAGAATAAAAAAACCCTAATACTTGTTACCTCATTCGTCGAGTGATTACAGCCATGCGTCTACAAAATAGACACTTCACCAAACAACTTGCAGATCTAAAGAACGTCCCCATACAATAAATCCCAAGTAGCATACCAAACAAACCAAAGATTTGATAGACTTTTCGTTAATAACATAATATTAGTAACAACTTAGCCGATGATAATTGTTATCAACGACATCCAAACTCGCTTGATATAAAATTTATGAAGAAGACACACTGATAATACCATTAAATGCCATAATAGGATCTGATCGTAAGAAAACTTTGATTATCATATTGCAACCTAAAAAATTATATAGATCGATAAAATCAGTAAAAACAGAGAAAATTACGAAACATAAAAGCAAACATAGTATTAAAACACACACCTCGTACAAAGCAGACGAAACCTCCTAAAAAAACCTTTAAAAAGTTTAAAAATCGTATAACAATAAGCAGACAAAACATAATAGACGATTAACATTCAAATACAGATCAAATACAAACCAAAAATATGAAATACATTGAAGATAAAACACGTACTTTATCCATCGAAGATCCAACAATCGAAACCTAAGAAAAATCAGACCAAAAATATAATTTAAATAACAGAACACCAAAATACTAATCAAAATACATATTTATAAGAGTCGAAGAACATAATTAAATTGACAAACTTAAAAAATTAGTAAGCACAACGATTAAAAATATACAAAAAAGGGGAACGGCGGTGAAGATTTGTCTAAACAAAGAAGAATGTATATATAAGAAAAGATGGAGGAATAGATAACGATACAAAGTGATTCGATAGCATTAAATTTGACATATATACAAAACTGAATATTTAGGGTTTTGCGATTGGAATAAAGTAAATATATAATATTCACATATATACAATTAGATAATAATGGAAGATTTACATTAATATAAATCTATATGTATAAGTTAATAATGTAAATAAATCTAAATTTATATGTATAAGTTAATAATGTAAATAAATAATCAAAAGCCCAACCAACAAACACATACCCAAACCAAATGATTCAATAACAAACCAACATATATGAATCGAAATATTCAAAGCCCAACCAAAGTATCACAAACCCAAACCAAATTTCTAAAAATTAAGTAAATATTAAACAAACTAAATATTGTGATCGGTTTTATGATAATAAGGCCTATGTTCGAGGAAACGAAACAATAAAGCCCATGTTCAATTAAACGATTGCGTTTAATTTTTTTTTGTCCTCCGAAATCAGCAAAACGGCAGTGTTTTTTTTTTTCGCCTCCTAAAATCGCTCCCATCGCGACACATAAACAAAGTGACTTCATATTTATAAATATAGATTGCTTCTTCTCTTATTTGATATAGTTATTCTATTTCTGATTAGATATTTGGGTGGGAATCACTCTGCATGCCAAGCACTTCATGTGGAACAATCAGTAGAGACTAAATCAAATCTAGTGATTAGAGAATTCAGAGATCGTGTAACCCCAAGAGTAGCATAACCGATATTATTTTTGTAAACTATGTACGACCGGTTTGACTTGCTAAACATTTTAATTAAGTTTTTATATTGTTGACAAAAAATAATGTTATGAATGGAAGTTAGAATAAGTTCTTAATCTTGTTGACGGGAGAAAACCTAGTTCTCTCTCAAAACGGCGATAATACTGTAGCAAGTTCAGAAGGTTTTATCGATCTTGTTCCGGCGACGGCGGCTTCCACAACGCTGGTGCCGGATCCCGTGTTTTATGCTTTAGATTTTCTTTCTTTGTGTAGTGCTTTTCGGATCTATAGGAGGTTTTGAAGAGATGAAATCTGTTTCGATCCGTCTAGAATTTGAAGGTGAGGTGTTCGTTTGGTCCGGTTTCGTCGGGTTCGTGACTCCTCTCCCTTGGCTTTCGCTCGGAGTTTCGTCCGCCAGTGGCAAAAGCTTCTCTTCGAGCTTTAGGTTGCAGTAAGGGGTCTGTCATTGGCTGAGTTCTAAGATCTTCGTGTCACCTATTGGTGGCGCTAGTGGTTTTTGGTTTCGGCTTGGTATAGATCTCGAGTTTTGAGATGGTTTCTTGGTAGATTGAACTTGAAATTTCGGTCTAGAAATTTCTGTTTCTTCATGCCTCCTCCTTGGTAGTTTGAACTAGAAATTCGGATTCTCTATCCCCGGGCTTTGGTTGTCCGTTAAGCTCTTTATCTCTGATTGATATTTCGGTTTGGCTTCTCCTCGTGTTTGTTTCATCGGTGAAGGTATTGTGGAGTTGTTAGTGCAAGAGGTTGATTTCTCTTTGGTGATGATGAAGATGTTCTCGGGTCTAGTCTTCCCCGACCAACAGCCTAGTGTCTTTGCTCTCCGTCTTTTCCGAATAATTCTTCTTGCAGCGATGCATTTCAACAGTTTTCCCTCAATGATATTGGGTTGAGTATCAGTGAAGAAGCATCAGAGTGGTTTAGATTCTGTTTGGTTATCTTGTTGGTGATCTTCTATGCTTTGGTTTCTTACTGCTATAGTCATCCTCAGGTTGGTTTTATCCCTAGTCACGGCCTATGAAGGATGTGATTTCTAGGATCTCTTCAGCTTCTGCGATCCTGTCTTCCTTTGGTGATTTACAGGTTCAGAGCTAGCTTCCCGTCTCTACCTTATGTGTTAGTTGTAAGTTTGCAGAGTTGGCTTTGGTTTGATTGGATTTTCGTTGTTCGGAGTTTAGGTGGGTTCGATATGTTTATGTTGGATTTTATGTTGTAACGTTTATCTCCGATGTCGTTCTTGTGGACATCGGCTTCGTATTTCATTCTCGTATTTCATAACCGTATCCCACCCTTGTATCTCAAAATCGAATTTCACCAAGTTTAATAGAATATTTTTAGATGACA